GAAGGCGATGCGTGCGAAATGCGATTACGCTATCGTGAAGTGAGATTGTTGCAATTCTGAAATAAGGTTACTGCTGGCTTAGGTACTAATACGAATAGGCATTGACCAAAAAATGGACTCAATCCTTGGCTCCAAATGCTAAAAATTATGGCATGTCATTCATGCGACGGTGTTTTTAAGACAGCTGTAGGGGAGGGATTTCATTTCACTTCATTTCATTTATTGTTCTCTCAGGGCCCAAAGGCATTACAGACAGGAGTGGTTTTTTTTTAAACGGAAACATATGAGTATAAAGATACATAAGGCAAGAAATAAAACAAAAGTTATTGAACATCAAAAGACTTAGTAATGGCAATTTTAAAATCAGTAGCATCAGTTATCGAGACTATGGGTGCAGGAAGGCGGTTCCAATCTATTGAGGTCTGAGGGAGAAAGGAGGCATTGAAAGATGAGGTGTTACAGTTCGTAGCGAAATGTAAGATGGTTCTAAGAATAATGTTTGACGAACTGTTGGATTAGAGTGAAAAATCTTCTGAAAAAGACAAAGCCGGGATATTTTCCTGCGAAGAGAGAGGTTAGGCAAGGAAAGGGATGTTTTCATAGATGTGACGCTGGATGTGCGATGATAGTTCGAGAGGATGAAACGAGTGGAACGATTTTGTATGGACTCAACAGCGGATTCAAGGGTGATACGGGGGCCCCAGATAGAGGCTGCATATTCCAGTTTAGTACGGACTAAAGTCTTATAGATTAGAAGCTTTAATGAAACAGGAGTAAGCGAAAGGTTTCTTTTGAGGTAACCTAGTAAGTGATTAGCGCTATTAGTGACATATTCGACATGTAAATTCCAGGAAAGGTCATTGGTTAGATGCACACCAAGATATTTATAGGAAGTAACAGAAAGTAGGGGGGAGTTAATGATGTTGTAGGATGGACAAGTGTTATTATGCCTGGACACTCTCATAGATCTACATTTAGATGTGTTGAGTTCCATATGACATTCTGAGCACCATTGTGTGACGTTGTTTATATCAGTTTGAAGAACAGAAATGTCAGAATCGTTAATAATTTCTTTATACATAACACAGTCGTCAGCGTACAAGCTGATGGAAGAGGAAACATGCATAGGAAGATCGTTAATATAAATAAGAAATAGTAGTGGACCGAGCACAGAACATTGAGGAACACCAGAGTTAACACTTGATAATGATGAGTTAGTTCCGTTGGCGCAAGCAAATTGAAAACGATTTGTTAAAAACGATTCTATCCAATTGAGTATGTTGTTATCTATGTTTAAGTTACGAAGTTTGTGGAGAAGAAGTACATGGGGTACTTTATCGAAGGCTTTGGAGAAGTCAAGGATTATGCAATCTGTCCTGGAACCCAGGTCGAGAACGACGTGAAGTTCATGGGTTAAAGTTGGGAGTTGTGTTTCACATGAATAGAATTTTCGAAAACCATGCTGTGCTGGGTGAAAAAAAGAGTTCGAGTCCAGAAAGTGAATAAGATTGAAATATATTACGTGCTCAAGTATTTTGCATGGGATGCTTGTTAAGGAGATAGGACGGAAATTCAAAGGATCATGTTTATCACCGCCTTTGTGGAGAGGAATCACCCTCCCCACTTTCCAGTCTCTAGGTAGTATCTGTTGTTCAAGTGATTGGGTAAACAGTTTTGATAAGATGATGCATGAATACATTTTGGTATTTTTCAAAAACGTTGTATTAATATTATCGATGCCTGCTGAAGTTGATATTTTTAGGGTTTCAATAATATTCGCAATACCCTCGCAATCAACAATGACTGGATTTATTTGCAGATACTCACAAACTGGGAGAACCGGATGGTCAGAGGTAATAGGTAGTGAAAAGGATTTAGCAAATTCATCATTCAATACAAAAGGGCACAAATCACCTTGAACTTCAACTCCGTCATGAGCGTTACGTCCTGACTGTGACTGGGGCTAATAACTTTCCAAAATTGCCTGGGATTATTAATTAGCATGAATGGTAGTGTACTGTTGAGAAAAGTGGCTTTCGCCTCCTCCACTGCTTTTTTGTACTCGGCGGCAGCAAGATGATATACTGCCCAGCGTTGATCATCGTTCGACATTTTAGCAGAACGAAATAGCCTTTTCTTTTTATTTAACAACCTCTTTAAAGTCGTACTATACCATGGTAACTGGGGTGATAGAGATATGCTTCGAAGGGGCACATGAGCACTCATAAGTGACGCAACCTTTCTTTTGAATAGATTCCAGTTATTTTCAACAGAGCGCTCCTCAAAGCCATGTGTATATTTATCCAGAAAGAGGCATAATTCGTTATTTATAGATTCAAAATCCGCCGTCGCATAATTATATATTTTCTTAATTTGCTTTGGGTTGGAACATTTAGGGATATCTAAGATGAAATGCAATAAAGAATGGTCGCTAAGACCGGGCATATGACTTAGTGAGGAGATAAGATCGGGTGATGTTGTTAAAATGAGGTCTAACAAAGATGCGGTTGTTGCTGTAACACGTGTAGGTTGCGAAAAATTAAAATCTAGACACATGTTTACAAACTCATTGCACTCTGAGGAAAAGTGATTAACCACATCTCACCAATCTATGGAAGGATAGTTAAAATCACCAAACAGTATCAAGGGTGCACTTGGAAAACGAGCTATGACTGCACTGATCGCATCATGAATCTTTGGGACAAAAGTGGCACTTGCATTTGGGGGACGATAACACACCCCGAAAATATATTTCTTGTTTCTTATATTTAGACCCACCCATACTACCTCAAGTTCAGAAGCGATGTTGATGCGAAATGTTTGCATGTTATCAGCTACCGCGATTAACACACCGCCACCGTTTCTTTCGTCCCTGTCATGACGGTACATATTAAAACGTTTCTGACAGCTTAATATTTCACAATTGCGTATTTTACTTGACAACCAGGTCTCGGTGAGAACAATAATGTCCGCGTTAGACGAGTCGACAATTGACGATAAATCCTGGCGTTTATGCATAACGCTTCTAATGTTAGTAAAAATAACAGAAATATTATTCACACAGATATCATTATTGGATCTGTAACTCCTCTCTGATTGTTATGGCAAAACTGATGCAGGAGTGGAAATTCCGGGGTTACTACCAGATGAACTAACCATTGGAAGAGGTAATGCTTGGTTTGAAATTCCAGCTCCCTGTTCAGCTGAGGTTTGATAAGGCTCACGGAAGTTTAACTCGTTCACAGAGTCTGTGCTAAATGTATATATGTAGCTTTTATTTCCCATAACTAGCTTATCGAAACGCAGCTTGAAAGATCGGCCTTGAGGCTTTGCAAATTGGAGTAGTTTTCTTCGAGCAAGGTGCACGGATCTTATAAAGTCTTCACTCACAGAAAGGTGTGTTCCCTTGAATTTGTGCGCGTTAGAAAGCACCATCTTCATATCTTTGTAGGAGAACAATTTTACTATGATTGGCCGATGTTTTTGCTGACTAAACCTTCCTAAACGGTGCGCTCTTTGATGGATGCAAGTTCCAACCCTAATCTTTCGAGACACACATCAATAACAGCCTTTTCAGATTGTGCCCATGTTTCTTTGTCCGCATCAGGAATACCAAAAAAGATAAGATTTGACCTACGGGCTCTGCTCTCTGCGTCATCGCAGCGCGCCCTGAGCTGAGATATCTCGTTAACGGCGGATGTTAGTTGCGGAACGGAAGTCGTACTTATTGTAACGCTGGACTCTTTTAACTTCGAAAGTTCGTTTTCCACCCGATTAACGCGTGTTATGAGGGCATTCACTGATTCTTCGGTCGTACTCTGCTTTAGTTTTAAATCTCGAACTTCCTGGAGGATATTGTTCTGACCTGTCTGTAGCGTCTGAACGATTTCAAGCACTTTATTAAGTTGTTCTTCTTGGGGTTTGGTCATGGGCCCGGGGTTAGATTCAATGTCCCCGCCAAGGAGCAAAAGCAGACTGTAACTAACACTTTCAACATACGTAGAAACAGAAACACTGAAAATGCTGAGACATTCTATGTACAACGCAAAACAAGCCTTGGGGCCAGGCAGCAAGAATAAGCACAAATTGTTGCTTTTGATAGCAAGGTATTTGACATCACTAACCTGTAACGATATCACAAAAAACTTAGGCATCTTGGTTGGGCAGTTGCTGCCTGGCCCACTGGTGAAGTCGAAAGATGCAGCCCCTTTTCTTTCAAGTGGCGCTGAATCCATGGTGGTGGTTGAAGGCGAAAGACAGATTTCATTCAGCGCCGTCGGGGGCATGTGATTTAGTCCGTTCCACGTGGAGCACTGAAGCGATGACGAGCTTGTAATCTCGAAAACAAATGTAGACGTCGCCGATGTAACGTTGCCGCCGAAGATCGTGTTGCCGTTCACTGCCATATAGGACCACGTTGGTGCCAGGAACATTATCAGGAGCTGTAACGATATCACAAAAAACGTAGGCATCTTGGTTGGGTAGTTGCTGCCTGGCCCAACCAAGCCCCCGAAAATATGAAATTTTCAGGGTCTAAAGCTGAACAGGTGACTGCAATATGGCGATTCAGCAGCTGTAGCCTGCAGTCTCGACTAGATTGAAAACAGGGGTAATTATTCAGTAGGCTCGTGAACCCTCCACATACATACGCGCATACAAACGTACACGCACGCACGCAAACGCACACACGCACACGCGCACACGCACAGACGCGCACACGCACACGCGCAGACATACACATGCACACGTGCACACGTGCACACGTGCCTATCTACAGTAAATCAAACCAGGCATCTGACCCGTTATAAAATTAACATAAATCGAAAACGTTAACTGTCGGGGATCATGGTATCGATTATCGTATGCTAAGGGCCAGGATATGAACGGAAAGTATAGATAATAAAATAGGGGCAAAACGTTGCGTATAAAACCTACGGCCAAACTGTCTGTTACACTCGTATGACTATTATCCAAATCTGAGTCTGCGACGTGACTCCACCATGACAAAAAAGATCTCCATCTTCAGCTTCACGGCTGTCAGCGTTCTGCTGATTCCGCTGTCCAACGGCGGTAGACCGCCTTATCCGGAACTGAATCCAGCGCTTGGAAAGTACCAGAACGCCCCGGAGGTACGCATATTTTAAAGTCACTGCTCGTCTTCAATTCACATTGTGTCCACCCCACCCCCCCCCCCCCCAAAAGAAAAAAAAAAAAAAAGAAAAAGAAGTGTCCTTTTTTGTGCTTTAAAAAGAAACTACACATAACTAGGCGCTCAGTCTCAACCCAATTGTACCAGCAGTGGTCTTGCAAACCAGGTGCAAATGTTTCAGAACTACCCGTAATTTCATAGAAGCCGGTAATAGGACCTTTATTTTATTCTCAAACTTTAAATAAAAAAATTGTTCTATTGCCGGTAGTTAACAGCATTCATCCTCTTCTATTTGCGAGCTTCGTCTTGTACCTTTTTCCTTTGAACGTTTCTGAAAAATACCTATAACTTTAGAATAAGATAATGGTTATTTCTGAAACGTTTTGAGCCGGACCGGTAGTGCCATATTTAGGTGGTGGCCAAGAGCTTGGCAATGCGTAGTTCATTTTTCCTATGAAAATAAAGAAAAAGAAACATTAAACACATAATGTGTACTACAGCTGTAATTCAATATGGGCGACAATGTTCGTTTTTTTTTTTTTTAATTTGTTGGACGAATTAATTAGAAGGGCGAGAGGTGTCAAGTTCAGAACTGCAATCCGGTGATAGTGGCAAAGGCGGCGGACGTCCCTTTTCCACCGAGACAGCGAGACCAAAGACCTTTTGGGTGTAGATACAAATCGACCATATCACATTGTAAGAGCTTATGAGAACAAAAAATATAGGCGATTTGATGTTTTTTTGTTGTTTTGTTTGGTGTACAGGTAAATGTTTTTTAGTTAGTGTTTTTGCTAAAATGGCGAGGCACTGAACTTGAAGAAAGGTCGTGGATTCTAGGATTGTGTATTTCAGAAAATTTGCCAGAGTATTTTAGACGAACAAAATTACTAATTTCGCGTTATTAAACCTAGGGTACAATTTTTCTGCTGATTTTGGTAGACCTATATCTATTTATTTGAAGCGGTCAATAGATATTACATAAAATAAAAAAGTCGGAATTGTTTAATTAATTGTAGAAACCTTCGATTTTATGTTATTTTGTTTGATGATACAATTTCAGTGACGGCTTAAAAAAAAGACTTGGCGAGTTTTCTTTATTTTAGTATCGCTGCGCGCACCAAATAAGGTTGCGGGATTAGCTGATAAGAAGGCGGAATAACGAATCACGAAAATAGATGCGGGGAGATGATAAGTCATACCCTGTCTTTCCAAAGCTGTATATGACTTTATGCAATAATTAGGGAGTTTTCGAAGATCGTTTTCCCCGCTCCGCTACGTTCTACGCAACAAAGTTTCGCCGCTAGTGCGCATGCGCGTCGTTGGTCTTGACTGCAGAGTTCCGAATCCTGTAGCGGGTTGCGGAAAACATTGCGGGACAGAAGAACCGATCCTCAAAGACTTCCTATTGACACCTTATGGATGGCAGGGCATGACCTAATATAATCACCTTTTTCTGCTTTGGGATTCAATTTTTAGGTATCCTTATAGGTTCAGGCTGCAATATTATTGACTTAGAACTCTTAATATTATGCTCGAAACTCAGCACGACCTACACTTCTTAGTTTGGCAGAGACTAAATACATTATGTGTCGTTTTATGACATGTCTTATAAGCTAGAATTAAGGAATGCTGTACGCAATAATTGCTTCTTATAATTGTGAATCCATTCAAGCAGTGCTTACCAATCCGAGAGACGTGGTACTCGGTCTACAGGAACTACGTGTATGATCCGGAATTCGGAGGAGCGGCTAAGTGTGGCAGATTAACTAGCCTGGGTCCCGAGCAAAATGGATCCTTCCCAATGTTACTTGAATATGGACATACGTCGATGTAAGTATAACTAGAGAAACTAGGAATTTGGCTTCCAGACTTATAGATTAAGTAGCAGCATTGACTAGGAGCAAAACTGATTAACTGAAGTCGTAATTGTTTCCAACGTTTTCTAACGTATTGAAAGTTTTACATAAAATCCATATAGTACGTGATATCACACAAAAAAAATCATCTGCGCAATGCATCCATGTTGGATGTTTTTGCTAATTTTGTTTTCACAGCTTTGTTTTCCGGACCTAAAATTCAGTGCTTCTTTAAATGAAATACTTGTGAAATTTATGAGGAATTGTAGCACGGCGCAATTGAAATAACTTAAAAAGAATTAACTGCGTTTAGTGCGAAGTCGTTTAGGAAGGCTTTTTTTGTGTAATCTCTGTTTTTTGTTTTAGGGCCAGCATGTAATTTCGTTATTATTATTGGTCTTTCTTTCGTTATCGGTTCACTTGTTTAATGCCGCCTTATTTTTTCCTGGCTTTGTTTTGCCGTTTCCAAGTTCAGAAATAGCCAAAGCCGTTCTGTTGAAAAAAATTTACGAGGTTTTTGAACACCTTCCCAGATATTTCAATCTCTTTCTCTCTCCACGTTTGGGAACGAACGTAATTTTAAAAATTAGTTGATCGTGGAACCATCAAATGCAGAACGCGTTTTAGTCAGTTTATATTTCGGGAAATATGATTATTCCCTCCATTTTTACAACACCTCAGTTAGGAATGTTTGATATATGCTATTTGCTTTGACTTGGAACTGAAACTTTTGCTGCTTTCAAAACCAATCAATCAATCAGTCAATCAATTAACTAATTAATCAGCATGATATAGATTAAACATGAAGGAATATATTCTCGGTCATGATTATTGTGGTATGTTGTCGTTTGAATGCGTTTCTACCAGATACGTGACGAATTGTAATTATAGCATACCTCCCAATTGTATATTCTTTTAATCGAGTCATGTTTAGTACTTCTTTATGTTGAGTTCTCCTCCAAATATTTTGTTTATTAAGAAAGTAATATATATATATATATATATATATATATATATATATATATATATATATATATATATATATATATATATATATATTGTCTAGAATGACAATTGATCAGGTGACGAAAACTAAAGCAAACTAAACGTTTGCTTCAGTTTTCAAACTTGTTTCCAAAACAAGCTAGATAAAGGCAAGCGTCGCAGGCGTCGATGTCAGTGAAACAGCAGGATTGAGCGCTGGTGCGAGACTGACTCCATCTTGCCACGCGGAGCGCCTTTTGTAGTCTCGTGGGTTCCTGAAACATTCGGCCTAGAATGTTCGGCGCGTAGAACATTCGTAAAACGATCAGACAAAGCCAACATGGCTACCGTACGGTAGCCATGTTGTTCTGTGAAATGAACAATTTCTCCTTGACCCCTCCGTTCTTGGTGAGAATATCTAAATTCGCTGGTGACGGGGTAGCTTTATGGAGACGTTTTTTGTGTACCGAGATTCTGCTATCCACACACCGACGAAACAAGCGTACATATTTTTATCACCACGTCGGTTCTTTGTAGCACTGAAAAATAAGTTTACTGTTTTAAAATACCTAAAAAGAACAATATAATTGTAAGAGATCCGTGGAGACGGGGATGATTGATAATTTGATTGCATACACACAGCCAAAGACGCTCATACTGGCGAAGAACGCTTCCAGTACGATGATTATCCATAGTGATCTTGGCGCGACTGGTATAGAACGACCTTCTGGAAGCTTCGACGGTTTGTATGGACTGAGACAGCGATTTACATGGCCACGTTGACTAATTAACCAATCGCCTTGCGAGGTTTTGGCCGTCTCTATGTTAGTATCTGTTTGTGTCCGGGTAGCAGGTAGGAAAGGCAATGGCGCAACTTTCCCAGGATCCAGTGACTGTAGATCAGACGACAAAGTTCTCAAATTGCGAGAACGCCGATTAGAAATAATAAATAAAAGAACGTACCGCTCACTGGAATCAAACCCAGGTCCTCCGCACGACAGCCAAGAACGGTAATCTGACGGCCACGTTACGAAATCTTACGAAACCGCAAACGAACAAACATTATAGAAAACTGAAGAGGCTCGTAAAACGCTGTCCTATCGAACGTAGTAGGGAAACAAAGTTCACAGTCCGATCGAACGTAGTACCGCTTGAGGCGCACGACTATCACGACTTCCGGTCGCGGAGGGTGACGTAATGAAGTTCGCGTTCCGCCGGGCGTTATCTTGTAGTTCAGGACCCAAGTCGACGAAGCACCTTGTAGTGTCTGAACTACCGTTTTCACAGCTCCTTGCTGAGACGGCGGCGGCGAATAGGTATCCCTCACTAAGACTCTGTCTAGGGGGAGAGAGTGGACGTCGCGACGACGAAGGATGTAGCTGCTAGCGTCGACACGTTGCTGGTCTTGAATACGGATTCGTGCGAGCTGGCGGACTTATGCTCGTTGCGCGACCACCTGGGTGTCGTCACTTCCGTCGCCAGCTGGCTCGTGAGGTAGCATGGCGTCAAGCATCGTGGTCACCTTGTGACCATGCACCAGCTGGAATGCTGTAACACCAGCGGTTTCTTGAACCATAATGTTGTAGGCGAACATGACATACGGCAGGACCTCGTCCCACATCTTGTGTTCCACGTCGACGAGCATCGACACCATGTCGGCGATGGTCTTGTTTGGGCGTTCCGTCAGCCCATTAGTGCGAGGATAATACGCTATGGTTCGCCGGTGGTTTTTATGGCTGAGACAGAGGATCTCTTGCATCAGCTGTGTCATGAACGATGACCCGCGATCTGTAATCAGAACTTCGGGAGCGCCGTGCCGAAGGACGAAGGACTCAATGAAAAACTTGGCGACTTCCACAGCAGTCCCCGAAAAAAAAAAGCGCTCCCGTTTCGGCGTACTGCGCGAGAAAATCTATGGCGGAAGTTATTTAGCGGTTTCCCAACGTTGACGGCTAAAAAAGGCTAAGTAGATCAATTCCGATCTGCTGGAACGACGCAGTTGGCGGAAGGATTGACTGCATGGAGACCTGCCAACTTCGTTGGCGGTTTCTTGCGTCGCTGGCGCTCGTGGCATGATCGTGTGTATAGGTGGAGAGTTTTGGGGAGCTTGGGCCAATAATACTTTTCACGAATAGGGGCCCGTGTTCGGCTGTGACCGAGGTGCCCGGACGTCGGGTCGTCGTGGCAGGCTTGAAAGATCTCCTCTGGAAGGTCGGTCGGGATTACCAGCAGCCACGGCGAGTTGTTGTCCCCGAAGTTCTCTTTGTAGAGTACACCTTGCCGAATGGCGAAGGTTCGCAGTGCTTGTGAGAAAACACGTGGCATGGTACTCCCGCGCCCTTTCAAGTGCTCTATTAGTGCGCGCAGCTCAGGATCGTCTCGCTGACCTCGTGCCATGTCGTCGGTGCTCACTGCGCCTAGGAAGCACTCGCCGTCATCGTCATTGATGCTGCCGAAAGGTGTTTCGACAGGGGCTCTGGACAGGCAGTCGGCGTCGCTGTGCTTGCGGCGTGAGTTATAGAGCATAGTCATATTGAACCCTTGCATTCGGAGACTCCATCAAGCGAGGCGCCTTCACGGGTCCTTGAGGTTGGAAGCCTGCAGAGCGAGTGGTGTTCCGTGAGTACTCGGAACCGGCTCCTATACAAGTACGGACGAAAGTTCGTGGTTGCCCAGACGACCGCAAGGCATTCTTTTTTAGTCAAGAAGTAATTTTTGTCCTCCTTGGACAGTGTCCGACTTGCGTAGACGATGCCTTGCTAAGTGCCTTCTTCCACTTGAACCAGTATTGTCCAATGCCTGCGTTGCGTCCGAGCGAATACCGGTTTCTTCATTCTGATCGAAGTGTCCAAGAATGGAAAGACTCGAGTCTTCGCTTCAGCTCGTCGAATGCCTGCCGTTGGTTTTCGGTCCATTCGAACTTCTCGGCGTCCTTCGTGAGGTTTTTGAACGGTGCGGAAATCATTCGGATATCCTGAGCGGAGCACCGATAGTGCTTTGCTCCAAGGAACCTTCGCTCGGCCTTCTTGTCTGAAGGCGCTGGAAATTCCGGGATGGCGCGAGTCTTCTAAGAGTCTGGGCGAACGCCTTCGTTTCTAGCCACGCGACCTAGGAACTCCAGTTCGTCATAGGCGAACCGAACCTTTAACGTCTTGAATGTGAGTCTCTCTGTCCGTACCGCTTGGAGAACAGGTCGGAGTGCTCGCAAGTGTTTGTCAAAGTAGCCTGAAAACACTACGACGTCGTCAAGGTAGACAAGAGCTCTTCCAGGTAAGAGCTGCCAGAGCAATGTCCATGACAGGTTGGAAAGTTGCCTTCGCCGTTGCATAGACCGAAGGGCGTGGCCTTGAACTCGTACAGTTCATCCGGCGTCACGAAACCTGTCTTCTCTCGGTCCCGTTCGTCGAATTCGATCTGCCAGTAGCCGCTCTTCAGGTCGATCGATGAAAGGTGTCGAGAGTGGCGCAGCCGGTCTAATGTGTCATCGATGCGGGGGAGTGGATAGACGTCTTACTTCGTTACTGCGTTCAGCTTGCGGTAGTCCACGCAAAACCTAAACGTTCTGTCCTTATTCTTACCAGTATGACTGGAGATGCCCACGGACTGCTTGAAGGTTGGTTTATGTCGTCGTTCAGCATCTCTTGAACTTGCTCTCCATTACCTACCTTTCTTTTATGGAGACTCCGTACGGCGATCGATGCACAGGGAACGGGTCGTCCTCGTTAACGATGCGGTGCTTAGCAACGGCGGTTTTGAGCACCTTCGACAACGTCACGAGGCAGTCGCTGTCTTCGGCGAGGAGGTCACTTAGCTGCCGTCGTTTTGGGCCTGGAAGTGGGGGTCAGTATAGAGCTGCGCTGGCAGCGTAATATCTTGCTGAAGTGGCTATGAATTTTCAGCAATCACTGCGATTTCGGCGGAGTTCCGAAGTTCCTCGACGTGGCCCACTGCGACGCCTTCAGTGTGGTGTTGCCTCTCTTGTCAAAAGTTAGTCACGAGGACCACGGTGCGCCCATCCTGAAGTTCAGCCACTCCTCTTGTGACGCGTATTCCTCTTCCCAGGAGCAATCGAATGTTGCCTTCCAGAACAACTTCGCCGCAGGTAGCTGCATCGGTAACGACGGGTACGACAACACTTGATCGCGGCGGCAGGTTCACGTGGTCGGCAGCAACTCGGACCGCGGCTGACGCTGCTTGGGGCTTCTCTGAAGGCGGAATAGGCGTCCGCAGCGTCAAGCCGTGCTCACCAAGGTCGATGACGGGGCCGTATTCACACAGAAAGTTAATTACGAGAATAGCGTATCTGGCGCAGTCTTGTAGAACGACGAATTTCACAGTGCACGTTTCGCCATGAATCTCTACTCGGTCTGTGCACGTCACGACCGGCGTAAAAGGTGTCCTCCGGTGGTTCGAATTTGTGTTCCTCCCCAGGGCGTCGCAACCTTTCGCAGGCGGCGTGAAAGCCTCCCACTCCAGACTGAGTAATCTGCTCCGTTATCCACGAGGGCAGATGCGTTGTGGCCGTCGATAACAAACATTTAGCTTATTAGGCACCGCTAGCAGCGTCGTTGCAATGCGTGGCGTCGGGAGAGTGGAGCACTTCGGCGTTCTCGGAGGATCTTTACTTTGGCCGTCTTTGGCAACGCCACCTCCAGGTGTTTGCGCGCTTAGTTTTTCCGGCGACGCAGGGGAAACAGGCTCCCTCGGCGGTGTCGTGGCGCTGGAGACGCTGAGCGTCGGGGCGATGCTGAGCGGGATTCACGGCGGAGAGACGGTGCTGAGGAGGGTGAGCGCCGGAGGTACTCCTCGATGTCGCGAGGGCGTTCTTCGTACCTCAGTGGTGGGTCGTTCGGGTGGAAACCACGCAGCCCAAGTCAACGATAGGGCCCTCCACATTAGATGGGGTCGGCTTCCCCGCAGTGGCGACAGGGCGAACGTCGGTCGGCCGTTCGCCATTCGTCCGTCTCTCTCGGCGAGGGTCATTCCGGACGGACGTACTGGGCTTGTCTTTCCTGATTCTAAAGACACCGCGGCATTGGGGCGTCTCTTCGGGGTGGCGCCGGGGCTTGGCGGGGAGCTTGCGGCGGTCGTCGGGCCATGGCGGCGTAGCTCAACGACGGTTCTTCTGGCGTAGTCACGTTGATGGAGATTGCAGGTAGTACCGCCCATTTGACTTCCTCGCTCACAACCTCGGCGATGGTGTGTGTGGCTGGACGACTCGAGGCTGGCAGCAACCTGCTGAGTTTCTCCCGGAAGACGTCCCGAATACTTCAGTGGATGTTCGGGGTTACAAGGGAGGTGTCGCCGCCAATCATTGTGGATGTAGCGACGCCTGGATTTTGTTAGTAGTATGAAGCGCGCGCTTGGAGGGCGCACTCGATGTTGGTTGCCTCCGTGACGAAGGCTTTAACGGTGGTCGGCGGGTCGCGGGCGAGGCCTCCGAAGATGTCATCATTTACACCTCACATCAGGATCCGCAGCTTCTTTTCTTCGTTGGCTTGAGAGTCGGCGCGAGCGACCACGTGCAGAACATCCTCGATGAAAGTGGTGATTATTTCTTTTTCGCCCTGGGTCCTCATTCAAAGAAGGTCCTCGGCCTTCTCGCATATTTATTGGTTGGTGAAAGTGCTTCTCAGCTCATCCTTGCAGGCGGGCCGCGAGGTCAAGGAAGTTTCGCGATTTTCGAACCAGTGCCTGACCGTTCCTTTGAGCGCGAAGTAAATGCTCTGTAGGCGCTGTTCTTCCCTCCATCGGTTGTGCTGGGTCACTCGCTCGTACTGCATCGCTGTCCGCACACGCGGGTGTGCGGACAGCGATGGGTAGGACAACGACGAGTGGAGTGGTCCTCGTCACGGTCTTCTTCTTTGGTTTCTGAGGCAGGGGTCTGAATTCCGGGGATTGGCCTATGGTACGACAGCTTCCTCTGGCGTCGGCGTCTTCTGCGAAGGATAGCCTTCCAGGGCTGAGCCGGGATGTCTTCGAAGGGGTACGCTTCACGGGCATAAAAAGCGATACCTCGCACCTCCACCAATATGTCACGAATGACAAAGGGTGAGGCGTTGAGTTAACTCGAGAAACTAAAGTTTAGTGGGGCAAACTTGTGCCCAAAATAAAATAGAATAACGTTAGGTGTCGATGTCGGCCAAACAGCAGGATCAAGCGCCGAGACGAAACTGGCTGCGGCTTGCCACGTGGAGCACGTTTTTTAGCCGCGTGGGTCTCTGGAACATTCGGCCTAGAACGCTCCAGACGTAGAACATTCGTAACTCGACCAGACAAGAAAGTTCTCGAACTTGCGAAGACGCCAAGTGGAAAGAATAAATAAAAGAACAGTCCGCTGCCTGGGATCAAAATCACATCTTACGCGCGACAGCCAAGCACGGTAACCATTCGGCCACGTGCGCGATCGGTCAGCGACGCGCGTTGCAATAGTGCAGCTCTTGAATTACATTTTGTATTCTTTGTGTTCTTATCTGTAACTTGCATGCTCATATTCGTTTCGAATGTTACGCGTGACATTACAGTGGTACTGTCAACTTAGCTTCTGGATTATCGTGGATTCCAAGCCTTAGTACACGCAAAATATTGGGAGAGCACTCAGGGTTGCGGTCAAGTAAAGTGCTTAACCGGGTTAACAGCTGTCAATGTCTGCTATTACAAATAGTTGTGTGTGTGTGTGTGTGTGCCTCCAGGGATTAGCTACAAAGTGTTCCTTTTGTAGCATTCCTTACTGCAGAAGGCGATTGAGTAGCCCAACGAGGGCACTAAAAATGGGTGACGACGATAACATATATTACGCTATTTTCTACAATAAAATATCATGAGAATCATTTATTCAGTTAATACAGGTCTACAAGGTGTGTAGTTTTCTCAAAGAGGTGTGCGAATTTAGTAACGTTCCCCTTAAAAAAACTAAGTTCTTGCTCCCTTCAGCGAAATACTGTCAACTCCTGTGGCATACGAAGGATACGATGTGAAAAATCTGCAGTACTATCAAGCCGCTGGTGGTAAGTACATTATTGTACAATTCTATCGATGTTAGCAAAATCAAGAAATCGAAAGTTCAAATACTTTATGTCGGTCGGACTTAAACTTTGCAGTCATCTTCGCACTAACTTTTGTGCAGCACTGTTTAGAGAAAAAAGAAAGACGTTTACAATTTTCTGTAATGCAGAATTATAGCGCAGCTCTTGGGGAGAGGGAGGGCAGGGTGCGGAGGGGAGGGTCACGTGTGCCGTCACGAGGGTAAAAATGTTCCCAAAACTTTGGCGGGAAATTTTCTGCTAAATTTAGGGGGAAATCGTTCGTCTAATTTTAGCAGAAAAATATTTCCGCTAAGTTTAGCGGAAAATTTTTTTTCACGATATTTAGCGTGAAAATGTTGCCCTCCTAACGTCACACGTGACGTCACGTGTGACGTCAATATTGAAAACATCCCACAATGGAACGCGCGGTTACGCCGACGGTGACTCCGCTCATGCCGGAAACGGGCGCCTGAGAGCTGCGCCCTAAAACAATTATGGTGTGTAGAACTCCGCCCATATGTCAAAAGTGGGTAATATTCCACACATGCATCGAAAATGGTAACGCAGTGGCAACAAATAACGTCACAAAAATCAGATTGTCTTGCTGTTGGATGTCAAGATCCTGGTGGTTGGGTGTAGTCGTTCCGGAAAAAAGAAAAGCACGAGAGCCACAGTCGTCGCGGCATCCCCACTCCACGCTGCCGTAGCTTCCGTGGCCTGTCAATCTGGAGAGCGACCTACGGAAATAAAGGCGTTTCCGACATTCCATTATCACTGATGTGACATCGCCAGGACCGCGGTCACCGACATGACAGCGTGACGATTTGGTTACACCATAAGACGGAAATCGACAGACCAATTTTTTTTTAGACGCGGAAAGCGCACCTAGGACATCCGTTCGAGGAATTGTAGTACTTTCGCTCCATTGGCAACAATTACCAGCTGAATTTGTACGAAACCCAATATAGTCTCGTTCTACAAAACATGCTCCCAGCGCTGAAACCTATTTTGCGTTTGTGCTTTTAGAAAATAGTTCACTGCTGGTGTACATTGGGTACGTGGATTGCCAGAAGTGCGTATTGTTCAGAAACAGCTACATCAATGGTAAGATTTTCTTATTTGTTTTTCCCCTCCGGATTTGTGATTTTCTACTCGAAAGAATGCTGAAGGTATAAAATAAAATTTAACATTTCCCCAAATATTATTGCTCAGGTCAGACATCGTCATATTGTTATTTTATTTCGCTCGTCTGTTTCGGCATTCGACGATTTTGCTCGCCCCACAAGGGTCAGGCGGTGGCGATATGGGCTAGCCCAGGCGTGTGCCAGCCGAAATGGGTAAGATGATGCATGGAAAGTTTCCGCCATGCTGAGCTATAAAACCAGCTGCCATAGTACAACAGTTCTAGATGCAAAAGTAGGATTTAACCATGATTAATCATACTTGAGCATGTAGTAAGAAAATGGAATCATCAAACGACTCGAAAGACGGAAAAAAAGACCAAGGCTATAGGACTCAAACTCTGCTTCTGCGTTTATTCAGTCCCGCTCCGCTTATACTTTTAACGAAGTTCACCTCAAATCGTCAGACGAAGAAAGGATGAACACAAGCACAAAAAAAAACAACAATCAAGTTCACAACTGTGAATAAAAAAAAAATTAAAAAAAACAATTGTTTTTCTGAACACCTCTGACATTTCACATTCCTTTTGAAAGCATCGTGTTTGGTGACTTCTTTCAATATAGAATGAGAAATTTCCGAAGTGTTTGGAAGACCAATATGATTTTTTTTTTATAACAATTGCGATATTTACATCGTTTCTGTATTTAGTGGTCGGAAATGGACCACATCAGGAGTCTACAGGGTGTTATCTTTTAAGCTTTACAGATATTTCTAAAATAAACTGCGAAAGCTACACTAAGGCGGTTTGTGCAGTTGAGTTTTACGTCGTAGGGGACATAGCACTGGGCACTCACTAAACGTGACTATCAGTCGGCTACTTAACTAAAATATCTTAATTCACGATTTAATTATCTATAATAAAAAATATGCGTAAAAGCACGATGAGGCGCAAAAGTTACCATTCGTGCAGCAGGAGAAGGGCTACCAGCGCGATAACGCCTCCCACGATTTTTCTTTCTCTTATCCTAAGCACAGCCTTGTGTCTGTGTCTCGAGCGGTAACTTTAGCACTCTACTGCGCTTCCCACGCGCTCAATGTCTTTCTAAGAAATCATTTTGTGGTTTCCGATGAGGCATAACAAGTTTTATATTAGATCCATGTGCATATTATCAATAACTATAAAGTTAATTGACACGATCTAGATATTTATTTGACCTATTGTGACGATTAGCGTCTAAGTCAAGAGTGGCCAGCCTGTCCCGGCCGAAGAGCCGCAAACAAAACCACGAAACCTCCAAGAGCCGCGGGGCGGGTGGGGAGAGGGGGGGGGGGCACCATGACAGAACAGCATACGACAAAATAGCACGCAACAAAACAGCACAGCGTCAATACGGCACAGCGACGGAAGAGCAGGTGCCAAAACAGCACGGCGTTCAAAGAGCACAGCGTCAAAATAGCACAGCGTCAAAACAGGACATTGATAAGAGAGCTAGGGTGTAGTGTTTTAGGTTTATATTATTTTGAAATTCGGCGTACTTTTTTTTGTTTTTATTCCAAACAGAAGTTTTCGGTTTATTGCGGTGAATATTTGTAGAGTCATCAAGTTCTCGGTTCTTTTCGGTTTATTGAGGAAAACCAGTATGCTTACGAAAAAGAAATATTTAAAAGAGTTTGTTTAAAATGTATAGTGGGTAAGCCAGGTACTGGTTTTCTTATTTGCTGCTTTCTGTGGCAGCCGACGTGACATGTTCTGCAAGACGCACTGGGGTCCTATCGTAACCCGACATTATCGTCGTGTGCTCGTATTTCTACACAAGACGAACATGCCCTTCACTACCACTTCGGTCGGAGAGGCAAATATCAAAATCCTGAAATTTGCCAGCTTTGCACTCAGTGTGTTTCTTCCCCATTTTTACGACTGCGAGATGTGGTAAATTCGGGTCGACCACAGAAAAAAAAAATAAAACAATCGTATTTATGCTTTTCTCTAGTAGACGGAAGCTAGGGGTGTGAAAATATGTGCTGCATTTCCGGACGCCCTTGGTTTTCATTATTCAGTTTACGATTAGACTCTCTTCTTTGAACAAAGAATTCTGCACACAAATCTTTATCAGGTGAAAAACCCAGATTTTGTCCTGAAGAGCCCTGCGCCCTTAGAGCTTTTGTTGAAAGTTGAACCGATCTCAGAGACAAGCTGAAAACTGCGAAAGGAAGTGGCCATACGGTCAGTAATAAGTCGCATTCTCCCCCCCCCTCCCCCCCCCCCTCCACCCCTCCAAAGGCCTTCAGAAATACTGATATTTTTCCGGTTAAAACCGGATTTGTAAACATAAATGCGGCGTACTTTTACCGGTTTTATTCAGTTTAAGCCGAAAACGCTGAACCCCAAGTATAGCGTATAGAGCAAAAAAAATGCATGTCGCAAAGTAGGCACTGCAAAGAAATGGAGGGTCTAAGCTAACTCGTCGAAAGCCAACTCGTCGACGGCCAATCTGTCGACTCCGTTCTCTCGGGAGCAAGTTCGGAGTGGGGAGTATACTCGATGCTCACATGAAGGCTCCCTGGGCAGCACCGAAGCCCCAGCTGGTGCGTATTCTGGCTATCTCTCGAGCAGTTCTGCTAATTCTGACGCGCAAATTTGCTGGTGATGTCGTCTACAGTAAATGCATCAATCGCATGGCAATGTGCTGTCGTTAGTTGTTAAAAGTAAAAAAAAAAAAAAAGCTTGTGCGGCAATGATGTGCTCAGCCCATGTTGTGCGGTCACAGCATTGAGGCTTTAGCATGTTTCTGCTTCACCGGTTTTTACTCGTCGGTAATAATCTCTGAATTTAACACGAAACAACTTCTCGCCTGCAAGATGCAGCGGCGTGTTTCCGAGTTTCCTTACTGACATGTTTGGCCAGCGAAGCTGTTGACCACCATGCCAAATGGTGTTATGGGTGCAATTTGACCTTTGACCTTTTTTTTTTCTGCTGGTGCTTGCCTGGAGTGTCGACCCGGTGTCGCAACGCTGCCCTCGGCCTGAGCCAGCGTCTACCAGCATTACCTGTTCAGCGAGAACATCTTTGGTCACCAACTCAAGCTTTAACCATCTCGAGCCCGTCACCGATTCCTGGTCTACGACGGCAGACTTTGTTCCTCGGGCGGAATGGGATGCTCCACCATCATCGACATCAACTACAACCTGGATCCGCCCCCCAAGGCTTGTTATCGTCAGTGGGCAGTGCAGCGCAGCAACGATGCGGACGTCCATGAACCCGTTCCTATTTTTAATACAGGTTGGTAAACCTTTTCTGGTATCCACGCTCAAGAGCAATTACCTGTGTCTTGCTGTGCTGCCCTGCCCAAAAACAGTGTGCGAGAGTCTTACTGGTTCCTTTGATTCTCTGTGTATGCTGATACTGATCCTAAGTGGCGATGTGGAGCTCAACCCTGGGCCTACTGTGGAGGAACAACTTGCGGCAATCTTAACCAATCAGCAAAGTTTATCGGCTGACATAAGGTCAATGCAAACAAAACTCGAGCTACACATGTCTGGCACTAACGAACGTCTAACAGCAATAGAGTCAACTATCAAAGAATTATCAAAGGCTCCTCCAAAGGTAGAGCGGTGTGAGCAAAACCTAAAGCACCTATCCGACAAAGTAACATTTTTAACTGAGAAAGTAGACGACCTAGAAAACAGAGGAAGGCGGAATAATTTAATTATTCACGGAATAAAAGAGGTTAAAGATGAAAGTGCAACGGAGTTAAAAGAACTGGTGCTTCAAAGTATTTTCGAAGAGAAGCTAGGTGTTACCGTTGCCAGTGTTGAGAGGATACATAGACTGGGGCGCTTGACAGAAGGTAAACCGAGGCCCGTAATTCTGCGTCTGTACGATTTCAACGAAAAGCTAGATATCCTTCGTAACGCAAGTAAACTGAAGGGGTCGCAGGTGTTCATATCTGAAGACTTCTCACGTAGGGTCCAGCTAGTACGAAAAGAACTCTGGAATAGCATAAAACATACTCGAAAGCCAGAAGACAAAGTATCTTTACGTTACGACAAATTAATAGTCAACAGCGAGGTATATACTTGGAACGAGTCGACACGCCAACTAATGAAATTATCAAGCTCAGTTCCCACCCAACGGAATGAATCATAGCTACTACCACGGAAACATGTTGTGTCACCACCACCTGTGACGAACCTTGAGGCACTACTTATTAACTGTCGCAGCATAAAAAATAAAATTGATGACTTTGCTGAACTTGTCGCTACGACGCAACCTAGCATTGTAATGGGTACGGAATCTTGGTTAATCGAAGAGATAGCTGACGAAGAAATTTTCCCTTCCAATTATTCTGCCTATCGAAAGGATAGAACTACACATGGTGGTGGCGTTTTTTTACTGATAGCAAACGACCTTCAGAGTTCGCAAATAAATGTTCCTTGTTTATCGTGTGAATCGGTTTGGTGTAAGATTTATCTAAATTCCGGGGAAACCTTAGCTATCGGATCATATTACCGGCCCCCCAGCGCAACCCATGAATCACTGTTATCCCTATATGATGAGCTGTCTTCCATCTCAAGTGATTATCTTGTACTTGGGGGTGACTTTAACCTGCCTGACATAACATGGCACGATAAGCAAATGTTAACTACCGGCTCTTCGATATTATACACGACATTTTCTCACTTTGTCTCAAGCTTTGGGTTGTCTCAATACGTCACTGAACCAACCAGAGTGGACTTCAATAGATCAAGTACACTAGACCTCCTTCTTTGCGATTCCAGAACAGTTGTTTCTGCAGTCACAAACCTTCCGGGCATTAGCGATCACGACATAGTTACAGCAAGTATACAGTGTAAACGTCCGCTATCGGCTCTGCAGTCCCCACGCAGGATTTATTTTTACGACCAGGGCAATTACGCTAGCCTTGCTGACGAACTTGTAGCGTTTTTTGCCATTTTTGAAATGCACAGCTATGAGATGGACGTTGAAACCCTGTGGAACATTTTTAAAACTAAGCTTACTGCCTTAATCGACACTTACATCCCACACAAGCTATTCTCTCCAAGAAAGCAAAAAAACAAACCTTGGATAAATAGAGAGTTACGGCAAATTTTGAGGAAAAAGAAGCGCGCATACTTAACTTTCCGCAGGACTTCTATTGCCGCGTCCCTTAATCGGTTACGCGACCTAAATAAACTCTACAAAAGAAAACTTAAATTAGCTAAAAATGTTTTTCAGAGCACTTTAAGTGACCGTCTTAAAAGGAGCCCTAAAGAATTCTGGAAATTGGTAAAACGCAACAAGAAGGACCAGGTCGGCATACCACCAATTGAAGAACTTGAACAGACCATACACGATGACCAAGCAAAAGCTACATGCTTTAGTAGATACTTCCAATCAGTTTTTTTCTCCCCCAATAACTGCGGTGCACTTGGCTCTGCCAAACGCAGTAAATGAATTCCGTGACATGCCGGAAATTGAATTCCACTCTGACGGACTGGTTAAACTTCTGGGGTCACTTAAAACTGATAAGTCTCCAGGTCCTGATGGCATTCCTAACAAGATTCTTAAGGAATGCGCAGGTATACTCGCTATGTTCTTGCACGTCCTGTTTACCAGATCTATATCAGATAGTATTTTGCCTTCTGACTGGAAGAAAGCTCATGTTGTGCCTGTGCATAAAAGCGGCCCCAAAAACAAAGTTGAAAATTACAGGCCCATATCGTTGCTAAGCACGTCTTCTAAACTTATGGAACATGTGATCTACACAAGTATCGCTCAACATTTACAGTCAAATAATTTTTTCACTCCATCCCAGCACGGGTTCCGCCCAGGCTTGTCATGCACTACTCAGCTAGTAGAATTTTACCATGACCTAGCAAACGCATACGATAAAGGCCTTCAAACAGATTGTATTTTTCTTGATTTCCGGAAAGCTTTTGCTCTCGTGCCACATAAATTTATTCTGCATAAAATGAAGTCCTTAAAAATAGATGGTAAAGTTCTTGGGTGGTTAGCAGATTACCCAAGTGGCAGGACTCAAGCAGTGTTAATTAATGGCAAGTCATCTGATTTTATTTCCGTCACTTCTGGTGTACCCCAGGGTTCGGTGTTGGGGCCGCTTTTACTTTTATTTTTAATATTTATCAATGACATTGTTGTAGACGTTTTTTCTAGTATACGCCTGTATGCTGACGATTGTATAATTTATCGAGCAGTAAGTTCGGTCAACGATTGTATCACTCTGCAGGCCGACCTTGACCGCATAGCAAACTGGTGTAGTACTTGGGGAATGGATTTGAACGTTAACAAATGTCACTTTGTCCGTGTAACTAGAAAGCGTAACCCTATCACCACCATGTACCAGATTAACGACATTCCCATCAACATGTCACCACAAGTAAAATATTTAGGCGTTTACTTTTCCCACGATTTGTCATGGCGCTTTCACATTGAGTATATGACTGCTAAAGCTAATCGGATGCTAGGCTTCATCAAACGTAATTTCAAAAATTCTCCTCAAGAGGTCAAAAACACCTTGTATCTCACAAATATTCGGCCCATTCTAGAGTACGCTTCAGAAGTTTGGGATCCCCACCAGCAGTACTTGATAAATAGTATAGAACTGATACAAAACAGAGCCGCCAGATTTGTCCTTAATGCATACTCGCGTGGTCAAAGTGTAACTGCCATGAAACGCGATCTTAACTGGCAGCCTCTACTGAATCGTCGTAAATGCTTCCGCCTGAAACTCCTTCACAGCATATATTACGATCAGTGTGGAATTGACAAAATGCGTTATTTACTTCCACCTCACTTTATCTCTCGGCGCCTGGATCATAGCAGAAAAATTAGGCCTTTTTCCAGCAGAACAGACATGTACAAATACTCATTTTTTCCTTGTACAATACTCAACTGGAACAATTTACCTGAAGAGATCGTCTCAACAAGCGTAAGCTATCAATTTTATCAGGCATTGTCAGATTCTTAAAACCTGTTATTTCTACAAACTTCAGCTTTTTCTATATATATTCACGAGTACAGTGTCTAGTTTTACGCTGGTTTGGGTTTACGTTTGTCTTTATTTTCATGTTGATTTCTCCTGGTAAGTCACATTTTGAGTTTTGACTGTTTAGGCAATTTAAGTGTTCTTTGGCGTCATGTTCATTTTTGTATTTGCCCCTCCCCCGCTATAATGCCCTCACGGGCGCTGTGGGGTTATTTCAATAAACAATAAACAATAGACTATCAACGACACATAAAAATTCGACAAACGTACCAACATCAGCTTCGCTGTAAAAGGAGGTTCGAACAATTGCATTTAATTGTTTAAAGGTTTCCGCCTGTCACCTTACGGGAATGATTTACGCTGGATTCCGATCGGTAACTTCTGTTGGGCTAGAACTTGAGGTTCACTACCAACTTCCGTGCCTTCCAAGTTGTGGGTCCGACATATCCAGTGGGGGGTCGCGAAGCAATATCTCTCATCAGTATCTTTTTTTATGAATTTTAGTTTAGCTAGTTTTAGCATACATTTCATTATGTGAACTGCTACTAGTACTCATCACTTTTGTAGCCCCGTGAAAAGCACAAGCGGGGTCGTGACGCGATATTTTATATCTTGGGGGTGGAGGTGTCTCCAGGATGGGGAGTTCGGTAAGTACTGAAATAGGCAACAAATTTCTTTATAACCTAGCGACAATAAATGAAAGGGTCAAGGAGGTTCGAAATTATTCGCGCAGAGAGAGGGGAAGAGCGCACTCAAAGTTGCTACATGCGTGCTGTTTTGTCGGCGTGCTGTTTTGACGCCGTGCTGTTTTGGCACGCGCTCTTCTGTAGCTGTACCGTTTTAACGCTGTGCTTTTTTTGCCGCGTGCTATTTTGACGCGTGCTGTCTTGTCGCCATGCTGTTTCCACGATGTGCTGTTTTGTCGCGTGCTGTTTTGTCGTGTGTTGTTCTGTCGCGTTCCCGGGGGGGGGGCAAGCTTTTGTTTCGAGCAGTAAAGGAAACTCGAACTACTTTGAATCTATCAGAGTCAAAAGCTGTCCAACTATAGATAAGGTAGCAATAGCCCAAGACAACCAAACCGCAGCTTGTCTTTCGATATAAAACGCATTCCATTTCTCTTTTTGGGGAGTGAGGCGGGGGAGTGGAAGGGGGGGGGGAGGGGAGGGTGAAGGGGGTGGGGGAGAGTGGGCCGCAAGCCGGATTTTAACAGGCGAAAAGCCGCATAGCGGCTGGCGATTCGCAGCTTGGCCACCCCGCTGGAGTGAAAGTAAAACTAACCTGTACAATTCGCATGCGTGTGGCTTTCACGTCTTCTTTTTTTTTTTATCAAACATGTTAAAGTTCGAAAAAAAAAAAGAACTCGGTAAGGAGATTGACTGAATGAACACAGCAGCTGGTTGTAAAGCGTAGCGATTACCTTTCTTTTTTTTTTTGTCTTTTGCGTTTTTAGTTGTTAGATTTGTTTTTTTTCTTTCCGCCTACACGCTCAGTGTAGGCGGAAAGTGTCCACTCTCAAAGTTGAGAGTGGAAATTTTGTCCACTCTCAACTTTCTTTTTATGAGCTTAACGTACCCGAGAGTGAGATAAGCTCCTGAAAAAACAATAAAAAAGTCATAATAAGAAAAAAAATACAGAAAAAAAGTTTTTTAAGGGAATTTTCTTCATTATATTTCTTTTCAGATCAAAAGAAAGTGTCAATTCAAGCCGATATGGTTTAACCAGTAGCTAGGTGTATGTACACCTCGTTTCTGTACCTTTGTCGCTGCGAATAGTGACACTATTGCCAAAAAAAATGCTGATGTTTTTTTGCATTCTGTTGAAGATCCAAATTGTGCTCTCAATGATTACCTTCTTTTCCCCTATTGGGTCCGCGTCCCACAAACACGGCTCAGTGGCTTACGTAAACATCAACTTGTCAAATGGAAAAAAAAGGAACGTAGTACATTTGCATTGTTTTGTACTGTGCTGTATTGTATTCAGAGAAGCTTGTAGAGTAGAGGCTCTGTTAAACTCCGATGTCGGACGTAGCAAACGCGGCGTAGCGTAGCGTACACCGCTTGTGCTTGGTCGCAGGTATCGAGTTCCCGCTCACCGGCCAATGAAAGGCCCATGTTCTGCGCTGCGCTACGTTCGCTGCGCTCAACGTCGGAGTATAACAGAGCTTTAAGTCTACAGACTCATTCCAGCACTTTGGGGGGCGTGTTTTCACGGCCGTCACATCGCGTGTTTTAGGGAGGAAGGGGGAGGAGGGGGGAGAGGGGGGCGAGCAGGGATTCACGCGCAAAGCCTTTAGCCAGTTATTTGGGTCGAACGTTAGGAACCTTCTTTACGCACGCTGCTCCATCGAAGTTCTGAGTATAACCTCTACATAGATGAATGTTTAGTAATATGGAATCATCTACGTTTTCGAAATTGAACCTACAAAATGTCCCGAAATGAGATGGTATCTAAGTTAACTAGACTAAAATAAAAATCACGGTCACTTTTTTTTTTTGTTGCGCAGGAAAGGCGTGCAGTCTTTTCGTTCCCGAGAGCGCCTTGGGAAACCACGGAACTTGCTGCGATTTCATTTTTAATCTTCTCTGCGGGGCAAGGCCGAAGTATTGCACTTACGACGAGAGCTGTCCGAAATGAAGCTCCAGCCGGACACCATCTGGGTTCTGGGAACGTCGATAGATGTTGATATTGCAATTGTACATGTGTACATGATGGAAACAAAATATCGTTTTATCTGTGTACTCTAAGTAATAAATATTTTTTTTCTCCCAGTGTCTTGCCATTATTCGGCCGTGCTTGTTAGCAGCTTGTTAGCTGCAGACTTGCGCCCGTTACTAACAAAAAAAATAATTACAGTTACAATTTTTTGGTTTAAGAAATAATGAATTACCGTTACAAATTACTCCATGTAAAACATAATCGATTAATTACTTTGTTATTTTACTCGATTACTTTTGCGTTACTCCAAAGGAACACGAACAAGAAACACTATACTGAGTGTTTGAGGGGTTAATGTTTGTGCCCCATCAAGTTTAAAACAAAAATACAACTCATTTTGTACTATCTACGTATCATTTTAGGCTAATATTTCAAGAGAACGAATCTATAAAATTTTAAAGGACTTAAACAAAAACAAGTTTTGCGCTGTCCAACAGGGACAGAACTAAATACCATGAACATGCGACGAATACACGTAGGTGGTGGACGCAGGCACACCATTAGAATTAATCCGAGTTTGGCATCGGCGAGCTTGAAAACATGATTCCCCCCCCCCGAGGAAGTTTCCGACGCTTGGCAGGACTTGCACTCTACCAAAGCCCAGCGAGCCACCTACCTCTCCATGGCCGCTAACCCGCTATCCATCCCTAAGATTCCCTCCCAACGCTTCTTTCGTAGGGAAGCCGTCATGATTCGACAAATTCAGACACCGCATCTTTTACAGTGGTTTCGCGGGAACGACGGGGCGGGATCTTCCACAGCCTCTGGCATCTGCAAGAACTGCAACTTTAAGGCAGACCTGGTCCATCTCGTGTGGTCTTGACCTTCGTATGATATTCCACGACAATGCACTTTGGACCTCATCACAAAACGCCTCAGTTCCTGCATCCCTGAACGCCTGGGTATGCCCAGACTCCTTCCGGCTACAGCCAAGGGGATACGGCCTCCCCCTCCCTCGTTGACGGACGCCTTGAAGCCATGAAGTGTTGACCTCCTCCTTCTCTCCTCCTTTTTGGCCCCCGCCTCCTAATCCCTTATACTCCTTCTAACTGACCTCCGCAGCGCGCTCCACGCAATATAAGGTCAATAAACGTGTTTTCAATCAATCATGATTCCACTGAAGATATGTCTTTTTTTCTGTTTGCTGCATGTTGCCTAAATAGGGGCTGGTTTATCTACTAAAACGGACTGGATGTGAGTTTAAGATGCGGTACTTGCGTGTGGGTCCATTTAAAAAAAAAAAAACTTGATGAAGGTTGTTATCCGACCAAATGACCCACTTCATCTTCTTTCTTGATCACCAAACTTATAAGGACCAAGACGTCACACGGAATATTAATGCACAATCTCTCAGCCGAACTAATTTTGCCGTTTAGAAATTATTAAAAAAAATGAAAGCCGTTTACAACTCTTAACGCCGAATTAGACGAAGCTCTTGAGGAGGAGGACGGAAGGGTGCTGAGGCTCACGTGTTATCGGGGGGCGGGGGGGGGGGTCACGTGACCTCGGGGGGGGGGGGGGGTGGCCACGTGACCTGAGGTAACGTGACCTTGGTGGGGTCACATGACCCCTCCCCAAGGTCACGTGGGGTCACGTGACGTTGGGAGTGTCACGTGTCCACGGGGGTCGTGTGACCCCCCAGAGAAATTTTAGAGCGCAGCTCTTAGGGGCCCGTTCCCGGCTTGAGCGGCGTCGGCGTCGCCGTCGCCGTCGGCGTCGGCGTAACCAAGGTCACCCCAAGGTCACGCGACCCCCCAAGGTCACCCCAAGGTCGCGTGACCCCCAGAGGTCACGTGACCCCTCCCCCAGGGTCACGTGACCCCCCAAGGTCACGTGATCCCCCCGAAGTCACGTGACCCCCCCCCCCCCCCCGAGGTCACGTGACCAACCCCCCAGGGTCACGTGACCCCCCCGCTGAGGTCACGTGACCCCCCATGACGTCGTCGTCACTGATGACGTCACCGGCATCCGCATCGTCATCGTCATCATCACTGATGACGTCATCAGTGACGTCACTGATGACCTCACCGGCATCCGCATCGTCATCGTCATCATCACTGTTGACGTCATCAGTTACGTCACTGATGACGTCACCGGCATCCGCATCGTCATCGTCATCATCAGGGATTACGTCATCAGTGACGTCACTGATGACGTCACCGACATCCGCATCGTCATCGTCATCATCGCTGATGGCGTCATCAGTGACGTCACTGATGACGTCACCGGCATCCGCATCGTCATCGTCATCATCACTGATGACGTCATCAGTGACGTCACTGATGACCTCACCGGCATCCGAATCGTCATCGTCATCATCACTGATGACGTCATCAGTGACGTCACTGATAACATCACCGGCATCCGCATCGTCATCGTCATCATCACGGATGACGTCATCAGTGACGTCACTGATGACATCATCGGCATCGTCACGTGACCCCCAAGGTCACGTGACCCCCAAGGGCACGTGACCCCCCCCCAGGTCACTTCATCCCCCAGTACCCTTCCCTCCTCCTCCTCAAGAGCTGTGCTCTAATTCGGTGTTACAGGGAGTTGTAAACGGCTTTCACTTTTTTCCGCTAGATTTAGCGGGGAATTTTTTCCGCAAGATTTAGCGGGGAATTTTTTCCGCAAGATTTAGCGGGGAAATTTTTTCCGGTAGATTTAGCGGGTAAATTTTTTCGCTAGATTTAGTAGGGAAATGTTTCCGCTAGATGTAGTGGGGAAATTTTTCCGCTAGATCTAGGGGGAATTCTTCCGCTAGATTTAGGGGGGGAAATTTTTCCGCTATATTTAGCGGGGAAATTTTCCGCTAGATTTAGCGGGGAAATTTTTCCGCTAGATCTAGCAGGGAAATTTTTTCCGCTAGGTCTAGCGGGGAAATTTTTCCGCTGCATTTAGCGGTGAAATTTTTCCGCTGCATTTAGCGGGGAAATTTTTCCGCTAGATTTAGTGGCGAAATTTTTCCTCTCTATTTAGCGGGGAAATTTACCCATAATGCACCGCGCGGCTACGCCGACGGCGACGGCGACGGCGACGGCGACGCCGACGCCGCTCAAGCCGGGAACGGGCGCCTAAGAGCTGCGCTCTAAAAAGCTAAATTTTTAGTGAACAGCACGCTTCCATGTTTTTCACGCGTTTACAGGCGGGTACTCAACTCCGGTGCTTAAAGGGGCCCTCCAACAGTATTTGAGCGTCGACTTTTTTTTGCGGTTTCTACACGCTAGTGGTCCCGGAAACCCAGTGGACAACGAAAGAGTTTGAAAATATTAGCGCATCATATTTTAATTTGACAGCTCGGAAACACCTCCTCCGATGGTGGCGCCGCGAGGTGCCGAATGCACGCGCATAACGGCGCTCCCTTTCACTATACGTCACATTCTCTCGGTTTCGTGATTGGCGAGAGCCGTCCCAGGAATTTTGAAGCGAAATGAAGTATATCACACGTTAACCGTCATTATTTCTCTAACAAGTCATTTTTATAGAGCTAATAAAGTTGCAAAGTAAAGTTCAAAAAGGGCGAAAACAACGCCTTGTCGCTCATGCGCGCCTCCCAGCGGCGTCCGCGACGTACCATCGCGAGCAGACGACAAGTGATCCGTGCACACAACGCGAATCGTATTTTCACTTGTGCGCCCCCGGTCCCGGTCAACTAAAAGCAGTAAGAGGAGCCAGGGGAATCCTTATTTTCTTTTAGTGCTGTGACAGACCTTTCACTGTTCGAGTGAAGTGCGGCGACGGGACCGGTGCCCAACGGGACCGCTCACCAGTTTCTCCCTCCTACTCGCCGAGGTGGCTCCGGTGGCGGAGTTGCGGGAGACGAGTGTTCCGCGGCTGTCGAAGCGGACTGAGGCAGAGACGCGGCGCTTGCGTGGAATGTCCTCGTACGGCGCGACGCCCAGATCCGCACTAAAAATCCAATAAGCCCGGTAAATTCATCGATTATGGCTACCCGATCCCAAAGCTACGATGGTTGCAGCTAGGCCTAATGGCCGACGAGCCGACCGGGCTGACGGGCTATCAACCAAACTCGCGTCCAATTGGCCAACCGCTTTGCTCCAATCGCTAAACTGTTTCATTTTACGTCATGAAGCGCTATGTTTTGCTTATTTAAAGTTGTTTTCTGCAATATTTAATTTGCTAATAACTCACAAAATATTGCGAATTTGTGTAATATTTTTTTTCCTCGGTGTTCCTGCTTTCATGGAGCTTCGTTTCAGCGCGAACTTCAAACCGGTCAAAACATTGTTGGTGGGCCCCTTTAAGTAAGTCACTTTTTATTTTTAGAAAACTCGGGCTGCGTTTCCTTTCTCTAGAATTTCGATCTAAGTTCCCGCAGGTGCAATCCGCTGACGAGAACCGTAGCCTTCTTGTTTTAAGATTACGGGTTCAGCTTGGATGTCCTAACCCGTTTTGTTGTGCTCCCCGACCAACTTATTGCCTGCTGTCGAAAGCTACTGTTTACACTGACAGTAGGGTTGAGGCTATATTTCTTTTAGAGCGCAGCTGTTAGGCGCCCGTTTCCGGCTTGAGCGGCGTCGGCGTCGACGTCGGCGTCGCCGTCAGCGTAATCGCGCGTAACCCTCGCAACCCTCGTGATGGTTACGAGGGTTGCGAGGGTAACTCTCACGAGGGTTACTCGCGAGGGTTACGAGGGTAACCCTCGTGATCCTCGTGAGGATAGCAACCCTCGTAACCCTCACGAGGGTTACTCTCACGTGATTTACGAGGGTTACCCTCACGAGATTCACGAGGGTTACCCTCACGAGGGTCACTAGGGTTGTGAGAGTTACCCTCACGTGAGAGTAACCCTCGTAACCCACACGAGGGTTACGAGGGTTACTCTCATGAGGGTTACGAGGGTTACCCTGACGAGGGTCACGAGGGTTATGAGAGTTACCCTCACGAGGGTCACG